TTGGAAGAAAACAAAGAGAACTCGAGAAACATCCTTACAGTTCCCAAAGTCACTGACACTACGAAAACCAATGGAATAAGACTTATAAAACGAACATCCCAAACCAAAATTGCAGCTTCTTCATCTCAGAGCCTGGTTTTACAGTTTAAGTGGCTTTGGCTATACAAAAGCGAAGTGCTAGGAAAGAATTTGTCCATCAACATTCACAGTACTATAGAACGTTGCACAAAGACATAACAGGATGTTACACACAAACTTGGAAAACACAAAGCGAACAGATTGTGATCGGAAGACTTTCGAATCAAGTAATGAGCACGTGGAAGCGTAAGGTGCGGCTATAACGCATGAGAAGAACCGGATTGAGGTGTGGCGTGTTCCTTTGATGCACATAATTCTCAGAAGTTGAGGGGATAGCAGAAACGCATTTTCGAAGAAAAAACACAAAAAGCAAACATTAGAACAACAACTGCACAAAAAATGCTTGAAGGCAGCATTCGAAAAAAATTGTCGTAAAATACCCAATGTGTGTTCTGCAAATACACAGGGTACCCTTGAATTCGAACTACCGTACGCCGAAAGTGGGCGTCACGCAGGCAATGCTCATGCGCACATTGGGTGGCGTTTCAGGATGTATTTTTTTCTGAGGGAACAGGCTACAGAGCCAAGCTCAAGCATGGCGTTGCGGTTCGGGCTGGAAGTGGGCAAGGGTCGAGTAAGACCGTTCTTGTGCGACCTGGCCCCTTTCCACTACCCCCGAGGGTGCCTCTTTAGTCGATCGTTCGTCGTTCGACACGTCCTGTCGTTGCAGTAACGACCTATCATGGAAGCACCTAGAACCTCATCTTTTGGTTCCCGATTTCCGGAAAATCCTGGATATGGAGCGAAGGGCGTAGAGGGCACGAGTGTATCAGTAGAAATAAGGTTGTGGAACCTCTAAAAAGTAAGTAATACACATTCCTTCAGGCTTTCGCCCTCGGAATGTGGTCACAGACTGCTTCTACCAGTGAATAAGTTCATCTACAGGAGGTCCCAACATTAATGGTGTCGTCGTTTGAGGTCTGTACTGAGGCACTTCAGCGGGCGAAGAACGCTATCTGCTCTAGTGAGAGCAACCTTTCGGAGTTGTTGGCTTCACCCTGGGGAGTTTTCGTTTTTACTTTACACAAACTACGCTCTTCTCCCGGTGACGTCTTATTCAGATGACGGTTAATAGATGTGTAACAAATAGTAAACTTTTGTCGAATCGTCTGAAAAATCAGCCCTGGCACCCCATGGGTGTCATGCGGCCACAGGGAGCAATTTAGGCCTGACACCTCATGGGTGTCAGGCGGTCCGAACAGGGTTAACAAAGTTCCTTACTCGTTCACTTCTCGACGTTGTTTTATTCCCCGATTTTCATATTTTTATCTGCGTTCTGGTTTTAAGCTGACAACACTTAGTGTAAATTAAATGCGGGGACTAATTTGCCGTAAACCCGCTCATGGCGAGGGAACTTGGGCTACTGCTGTCTCGTTCGTCGAGTTTTGAGAAACTATGTCTATCCGTCATTTGAAGTTCCTTTGATCTCGGATCGTGCTTTACTCTCTAGAAAACAATTCGAAGGATTGAAGAGAGCCAAGCGATGTGTTACTCAGAAGTTGGTGCGAAGACATTCAGACTTCGATATTGAAGAGAGACTGCTTAAGGTTTGTTCCGCATCTGCTCTTCTCAATTTCTTGAATCAGACATTTCCCTTCCAAAACATCAGTCATCGCCTTGCAGGCAATCGGCAATATGGGCTGGAAGTGGCCGACTCAGGTGCAGGAGTCCATCTTCGGTCTTGCTCTTGAGGACAAAAATATACTGGCGAGAGCTCGAACGGGAAGCGGAAAAACGGGAGCCTATCTGATTCCTATTGTTAACAAAGCTATCGGTTATGCAACTGTGAGTTCGGCATTCCCCCATTGTGTCCCATGACTTGCTTTCTACCATCCATAATTTTCAGACATTGTCTGGTGAGTCAAAGGGTCCGTTTGCTTTGTTCATTGCGCCCACGAAAGAGCTTTGCGTACAGGTAACACTCATGATGTTTTGAATTTTAAAATGTGCAGTCTTTATTGAACCGTTCTAGATTAATGACCTTTTTGCTAACTACTTCAACCGCTACCATTCTTGCGGTCCCTCAACTTGGCTGATTTAACGTCAGACGAAAAATCGGTCTGGGAGAATGTGAGTTGTTTGTGGTTCAGTACTGCCTAGTTCCTGCGTTACCATAATCCTACTGGGTTTTTTTTCCACATTCGATGCAATTGAAACTCATGTTCAGGATACTGCTAATTTCGTTGTTTCCACCCCTGGGAAAATATTGGAGGTATTGGCAGTTCGCCGACATTTTTGTGAAGACGTTCGTCATCTTGTGCTCGACGAAGCCGATCTTCTGCTATCTTTCGGTTACGAAGATGAAATGAGGTCCTTATTTATGAACAGCATCACCTGAAACCGTGAGAAATTTCAACTTAGGTTTCAGCTCTCTCAAGAAGTTCCTCCCCGTCAAGTATCAGTGCATACTGACGTCAGCTACTATCACTGACGATATGAGTTCATTGAAAAGCCTGTTTATGACAGGGCCGGTACTCACGCTCAAGTTGAAGGTCAGCAGAGGCTCATGATTGTTTGCCTTCTGTCACGACTTTTCGTAGTTAGTGAAGAAAGGTTGCTCATGTTTAGGAAGGAGACCTACCAGATGTGGATCAGCTTACGCAGTACCAAATAACATGTTTGGATGATAACGAGCGGTTCGCGATACTCGTTGCAATGTTCAAGTTACGATTGATCGTTGGCAAAACGATTATATTCGTTAATGACACCAATAGATGCTATATGTAAGTTTTTTATAAGTCGCATTACTCCCTTTTACACTCTGGGAATGGTTATCTTTTGCTTGATAAGGTGTTCTAAGATGGGCCATCCTCCTCACTTTATTCATTCCTTTCTCTTCGTTGTGAAAAAGGGAAGAATTAAACAATTGGTTTTCTAACGTGATAAATGCTTCAAGCCTTTTTAGGACATCACTTGTTTTGCGTTCATTTGGATTGAAGTCTGGTATTCTGAACTCTTGTATGCCGGCGAATTCACGATTCCATGTGATCAATCAGTACAATAACGGTGCCTTCGACATAGTGATCGCGTCTGATGCGACGGATGCCTTCGATAACGAAACTGCTAAACCGAAAGAGGTATTTCAACTTTGATTGATTGTAAATGATTCTAAGATCTATTAACTATTTTTACGTTGTCGTGGGGAAACTATTTTAATTTTGTGAGTAAGTAGAACTACTTACCTTTTTATCCGTTATTTAGCTCTCACCTCTACTCTAAATTATATTTCAAACCTATTATGATATATTGAAACGAAATGCCGCAGACAAATCATTGCATTAATTGTCTTGAAATGAGGCAAGCTACGAGTTTTGGGTGGGCACGGGGTGCATGATTCTGAGCAGAGCTCAGGCGAAACCCGATAGACGGAGTTAAATCGAGTTGTCTTAAGAATTTGTGGAAGTAATCAAGTCGGAGGAAATTGTGAAAGGCCTTCAATCACCATTCAGGGTCTGGTCTCGATATCATCCGTTTTTTTTTCAAAAAAAAAAACTCTGAGAACTTTCAGCCATCGCGGCGCGACAAGGAATCAGGTGTTTCCCGAGGTATCGATTTCCATCAAGTGGGAAATGTTGTAAATTTGGATTTTCCCACATCCACTGACAACTACATCCATCGCGTGGGAAGGTACGTCTACGGCTTTCAAGCTGAACAGTCAAAACGCCGCATCTAGAGATACAAGAATCACCTAATCATTGTAGTAACTACTTATTTCTTTAGAACAGCCAGAGGGCGCAATAAAGGCACTGCGTTGTCTTTTTGCACTCCTAGCGAGAGAGTATACCTAGACATGTCCAGAGGAAATCCAACCACACAAAGTGATCTCAGATTTATGTGCTACATGTCTTTATGAAAACTATTTCGCTCATTTTATTCTTATAATCTCTTTAGTGGAAGTCGCAAGGTCATAATTCCATATGAGATTCGTATCAATGAGCTCGATTCCTTCGTGCTGAGAGTAAAGGTGGGCTTTTTGGACAATTTCTGCTTCATTTTTGACTTTTGTATATTCAACTTCTTGTTTACATGACACTGAAGTTTTGTAGGAGGTGCTTTCAAAATGTGGCAAAACAGTGATAAAAGCGGCTAGAATGCAGGAAATAAAACTGGAGGTAAGGTTTTCAATCGTTCTGTTTATTCGATTGCTATATATGATTACACTATGATTCAGGAAGATCTACTTTTTATTAGTTTCTTTAACACTTTCTTATAAAACTGGCTACAACCGTGTGAGGCTCTTAACATTCTAACTCAAAGTTCGATAAGCCTTACCGCGAGAAAGTTCAGCTTTTCTACCCTTCTAAGATTGCGGACCAGAAAATTTCGGAGCCTGATACTGTTGTTCCCCCCGCGAAGCTTCCAAGCGAGCCATACCTCAATAATATACTAGTTTATGGACAGGGCATTCGATTATTGTCAGAAATTCTACACAACTTATTGAACAAATGGTTTTTGAGAATAAGGGGAGTAAATGGTGATTTCAGATGATGAGGTCGGCGAAGTTGCAATCTTTCTTTGCAAACAATCCCAGAGAAAAGATATTGATGGAGACAAGCACTCGACCCACTACGCTCGCTGTGCATACCAACGCCATAGCCGATGTACCTGAGTATATGGGTACGTGAATTCCTTATGGGGCTTGTTTAAAATGTATTAGGTTCTGTCATTACATATGTTGACAGTCAGTTGCTAAATGCACACGGCGATTTGTTTTGAACACCAGTGCTCTTCTTTCAGTGCCGAAGTCTTTACGTGGGATCAACTATTCTATTAGTCGGAAGAAAAAATCAAAACCCGGTCAGAAACATCGGCGCAAGATTCAAGGAAAGTCTACCGGTCAAAAAGTTCACAACCGTCAGAAAAATGATCCATTACGAAGTTTTAAAATATAATTGTTATATACCTCTATTTGTTGTTTTCGTTGTTGATGTTGTTGTTGGATGGACGTTTTCCTCTGCTGTTATCCGGATAAAGTACCGCTACATATATCAGCTACCGATGAAATTTTTATGTAAAAGCATTGATAACAATTCATCGAGGAAGGGAGGGTTGTGCTATGGTGCGCCGGGACAAGTAAACAGAAAAATCCCGCCAAGAGCATGCATAATGGGATCTCTTTGTTGCACTTGGCTTTCAAAAATGGGCGAGTGAGCAATGGAGTGATCAAGGATTTGAATGTTTTTACCCCGACTGCGGCATCATTCCAACAAATGTCATGCTTCGACTAGGTAACACATTACGCAGACAGTCTAAAAGACCGTGCCGCTTAGAGTGAAGTGCTCTCCCGGTGTGGGGGAAGCGGATTCGCACACACTGGTGGGCGGTGCGGTTTTGTGGTGTGTAACGTTTTATGTTTGGCAGCCGCTTACTGCGCAAATAGCGGGCTCGCCGCGAAAAGGCACACACTCCTTTCCTGCATGGCTACTTCCAGTGGCGCATATACTTCTCCGGTTCGCTCCCGATTTTTAGGGCGCTGAATCTCAAGACCGTGATTGAGCAACGTCCTTTGATCAGAATAACGTGCTCACCTTCATGACTGCTAAACTCATTTCCCCTCTCTTGCCCTTTTTCTGCATAGCTCGCCTTCTCGGCTAACCCCGGGAAGGCTTTCCAAAAATTAAACATCCTCACACCTTCGCAGGTGAAGGACGACGACCAGTAGTACCTTGATGCTACTGACGACCAGTAGTACCTTGATGCTACTCGGGCCTTAACCGCTTGTTTGAGCACCACATGACGACGTTACTGCGGCCTGCGCCGTACTGCTCACGGGTGATAGCCGCCACAGGAATGACCACCGAACGGCAGGTGTAAAAACGAAGTGATCCAGAATATATAAACATCAGACGGCGGAAAATCATAGCTGCTTACATCTAGTATAACCTATGGCGATCGCGTAGTTATGGTCTTCATGGCATATCTCTGTCAGAGATAACTACAAATCATTAAATCAGTCAGTCCCTTTTCGAATGCGCCACGCATCGGACTGCCAACTTCTGATTGTTGGAACGTTTGGCTATGTATTTGGTCAATGAGTTACGGAGCCGCCAAAGTACAAATCAAGTTTTATTTGAATACGATGCTTCCGAAGGTGTCACTTAACCATTGTTGAATTCACGAGCCCCTCTGAGAAACTCAGCGAGGGGTGCCTATCAAAATATGCCCAGCGTTTAACGACCCGCTAG